ATGATGACACAACTTTTGTAATAAAACAGAATGGTCCACACAGTCAAAAGCTTTACTCAGGTCCAGAAAAACACCACAAGCCATACAGTCTTGTTCTAGTAAAGAATGAATTTCATCTATGAAATCAAACAATGCTGTTTCTGTATTTTTTCCTTTGAGAAAACCGTGTTGGAAATCATTGAACAAATTATAGGCATTGAAGAAATTATTAATTGTAGTTGATATAATCACTTCGAATAACTTAGAAAAGAATGATGGCAATAGTGGTAACACTATTGCCATCTCCATTTGATCTGGAAATATCATTTCTGTCTCTAAACAAGTATTAAAAATATGGCAGAGTACGGTGGAAAGTGAATGAGCACACTTTTTCAATAATTTAGGTGGAAAACTATCAGTAGCGCTACTTAGTTTGTTTTTAAGTTTTCTGCTTGCCTGAATAATTTCTTCTTCACTGATTGGATACAAAAATATTTAATGTTGGCACCTAGTTGTTGTGATATTTACCTCATAACATGATTTTTTTGCTAGTAAAATGCGAAGAATTCAGGAAGTGGGCTTTAAAGCCGTTCGCTTAATCAACATAATTCATGGTACTACAAGGCAAAACAATTTCATTTTTTGAATGTTTCTTGTTTAGAGAATTTATTATATTCCAGGTGGTTTTTGATTTATTATCACTATTTTGTATTGAATTAATGAAGTGTTCACTTTTTGTTCTGTTCAGAAGTCGTCTATTTACATCCCTATATTCGTTATATACATTTTTAAATCGACAGTTACCAAGTATCATCAACTGTAGAGTACTTACTATATTTTTCATAATTTGAACTTTTTTGGTTATCCAGTTATTTTGTTTGATGGTTCTATTATTCATTTTTCTGATAGGGAAATTGGAATTGAAAAGTTCATGTATTTCCTTTATGAAAGTATTCCATTTCTCATTTACATTAGACTCTAGAAATATTTCATTCAAACTATGTTGCTGTAATTGTAAAATAAAATTGTCAATATTTTTTTCCGAAAATAACCTTTTGTATATGAAATTATTTATATTATTTAACATTGGATTGTGGATGTTGATTAATTGTGCACGATGATCAGAAAGACAGGAGTCGATAACAGTCGAAGTAGGTATAAAGTACTTCGGATTTGATATTATCAATACAAGTTTTGGATCTGTTGGTTACGCGGGTATATTCATCAATTGTCAAGATGGCATTAAAAGAGTTTAGCAAATCTAAGAACTCAGATTTTTCTTTAGAGTCCACTCTCAAATTCAAATTAAAATCTCCTGCAATAATAAACAATAACTTATTACTCATGAGAACAGAGAGCAGAGGGGACATTTTTGTAAAGAATACTTGGAAACTTCCATTTAGAGGACGATATATACATGAGATTAAATACACGATATTACCAAATTGAAATTCGGCACCTGCACATTCAAAGTGATTGATTACCGATAACCCACAAATATCATTTCTTGCTTTCCCTCTTATACCGTCTTTGCCATAAAATTTGATCCTCAGGCACAACTATCAGTTTTCATCTATCTAGTTTGAAAACAGCAGTCTTCCTTTAAAAGTGTCCAATTTGGCCCACTCTGTATTTTAGAAAATTACACTTCCTTTTAAGTTCAGTTCCTGAATTTTTATCAAAAGTCTGAACGAACATCGTCTTCTGTTTCATACACCATCGAGTTGTTTAGCAATATTTCCAAAGATGGTGCCATATGTATGTTTGACTAATAAACAATGCAATGAGTTGAGGGTTTTGAATTCTACATTAACTGGTATCACAGGGTTCTATTTTGGGTCCTGTGATATTTATGCTACATATTATTAATATTGAAAAACTATGTGAAAATGTCCGTGTTACAATGTTTGCAGATGATATATCTTGTGTCAGATTATTCTGATGAAATGTTTGGAACACGTTATAATGAACTAATCCGATCTTTGGCAACGTGGACATACGACAACTCACTATTTTTCAATGTGGGTAAGAAACAATTCCTTCGGTTTTACAACCGTTAAAAATATGTACAAAACCCGATCTTACTGTGAATGATATAGGTACCAGATTCCAAGTCTGCCACCCATGTCAAGTTTTTAGGAATGTGCATTGATGAACATCTGGATTGGAAAGTACATTGTTCGAGTTTGATATCAGTGCTCAATTCGCAGTGATATGTTCTGAAACATTTGAGAACGGTACTTACACATTGTCAATTGCTGATGGGGTATTACGGGCAAGTAGAGAAGTCGTATGCTTTATAGTGTTTGTTTCTGGGGATAGTCAACTACGTCTCCGGAAGTTTTCAATACACAAAAAAAATTATCAGGTGCATTATGAATGTGCCTAGTATCGAGAGCTGTAAAAGTTTTTTGAGCAAATATGGAATCTTAACACTCCCATTCTTATATATTTCCGAATTGTTTTTTATATTATTAAGAATAGAGACAGTTTTGTGAAGAATACTGATATAGATCTAGTGAATACCTGGGCCTCGTTATTGACTCTTAAAAAGCAACTTGAAAAACTCCTTGTTACCAGATATTTTCATTCAACAGATGAATTCCAGATGTCTCATAAGAATATTGTGATCAATATTTCTAATACATTCAGAATTCTTAAGGGCGAATTTTTGTATCCCAAAGCTCAGAATGTGAACTTGTTTGATCCACATTGTTTGTTTTTTCTTGACTATTTCAATTCAATATTTTGTCTCTTGAGAAATAAATTATCATTATTATTATTATAATGCCGCCATATCCAGTTTGGGAAAACTGGCTCCAATCGCTCCATTTTAAAGAGGAAGTTTTATATTCTGATAAATCGTCAAAATATACAGGATTATATTTTATTCTTGAGGAGTTCATTACCTATTTAATTAATATCGGTTCTCAACTTTTTTTTTCGTTAGGAACATTTGCTCCAGGGATCTATAAATTTCATCCTAATTTGAAATTTCTCACTTCAAAAACACCTAGATGACACCATGTACAATGATCTTTTTGTCCAAGGTATACATTCTTCAAATACCTACATTACCAGCTGTTAGATGATTACTCAAAATACGTCATTTCGTGTTATACTCAAATGGTTAACTAGAGCTTGGTCATAATTCGTTGAATATCATTCGACGTATTAAATCCTCTTCCAAAAATATTTTCAAGGCTTGCATGCATTATATGGCAGATTCGGTATGTTGAACAAAAATAATATAAAAGACAAAATTCTCGTTGTTTTCAATCCTGATTGATTTTCTCGAAAAATTCGCTTTCTCCCTGTAACTTACACTGAATTTGCCAGCCAGACAGGCCCTCCTAGCAACTGAAAAAGGAAGTTTCAAATATTTAATTAGGATTTTGAAACAATGCCTAATACTTCAGATAATTTAGAAATCCCATTGCAAATATCAACGTGTAATCAGTAAAACGGTTCCATGGAAAAAAATTTCACTTCATATCTGTTAAATCCAACAAAGGCACAGTAGTTCCTTTTCAGTTGTAGACTTCCTCGAGTAAACTTTAATTTCCAGATGGCGGTTTCAAAACTCCTGTCGAATTCCACAATAAAGTTGTTCCAGGTGAACAATGCGCTTGCGGTTTGTGCAAGAAGTTTATCAACAAGTCAAGTCAGATTTTCGGAACGAGAAAGGATAGAAAAGAAATTTGTTCTGCCGCAAAGATATGCAGGCACTGGAGAGAGTGTATGGTGAGTGATGTTATACATAATATAGATATTGACATTTTGCTGCGAATTGCTTTAATTGATCCAACTCGTGTTCATTACTTCCATGAGGTCATCAAGAATATTGAAAACCTGATGAAATATTTCATATGTATCCACTATATATTCTTTATTTGCCAAATTGATCCACTACATAGTCCTAACGACCTCTAAAGAGAGTTTCTACCAGGAATGCTCTTTTTTCCAATATACACACTCTGCTAACTTCTTTTGTTTTTCATTTTCCCATGACGCAAATTTCAATAATATTGTTTTCTGTACTAAATCTAAAACAAGCACTTTTCTCAATCACCAGAAGTGCAATAATCTCCTCGACGTACATTTCAATGCTTGTTTTAGATTCATTCTATGTTTCAGTTCCAGTTTCACTCCTGTACTAGTTTCGTTAGATGCTCGTCATATTTTCTTGAACATGGTTTTGTTTCAAATCAACTAAAAGAACAGTTTGTTCAGGTTCGACTCACCTACAATGTAGGTTAATGGACTGACACCTATCAGAAAACAACTATTTTCCTGACTAATATCACGAAGGGCGCTGGATTATATTCAACAGGTGTCAGTGCAGGAATCTCCACAAAAGTATTTCCTGCATATGCTGTTGGCGATACAATTGCTGGAATCGATTTTCAATTACAGAAACGCCCACACTTGCAGACCAGTTTCGGGCTATTTGGCTTCTCGTCAGTGCAATATAGTGGCCATCATCAACCTAAAGTTGATGATATTCCATAATTGAAAATCGAATTCCTTCCAGAGTATCATTCCTCTAACCAAGCTGAAGTAACCGACAAACAACAAATTTGTCATCGCTCCATCTGATAATCAAGGTACTAAGCCAACCACATATTCAAAATTCTCCCAATTCTTCGTAAAAGGATGGAAACCTTCACATAAATTCAGTGGGCATATTTGAAGACTGACGAGAGTGACGATGCGAAGAATCCCTGTAAACACTCTGATCCGTTTCCTGCTTTGTTGAAGTAGTTCTTCAGTTTCTTGATCAGACGATCCCTTCAAAGAAGTGTTTTTCTGTATACTGTACCAGTATTCTTTATATTTCTAATCAACCCCTTTTTGTAATAACATTCCATACCGATGATTCTTGTAGCTTCAGAGCTGATTGGGCGTTCACATATGGTGAGTTGATCAAAGGCAATGTATTCGTTGCCTGCGATTTTTGCGTGTCTTGGCTTTCATTGTAGACTCAATTTATTCATATTCTGTAGCTTCTTTAGTTTTTCACGGCATTTTCAGAACAATTTCACTAGTTCGGACTTTCATTGTCTAATATATAAAATGATTTGAAATCCCTGAAACAACTAAAAGAATAATTAAAAATGAATAGCTGAAAATAACAATTATATATTAAGCAAAATAAACCTGAAATGAAATAATAGTGAAATAAACTACAAGTAAAAATATAACAATTGAATAAATAAAAACAAATTTTAACGTGACTTGGAATCTCTACACTTTTTATTTTTATTTAATTTTTTCATTCCTTAATTTTTATTTTGTTTTAATTCATTCAATTGTTATATTTCTACATGTAGTTTATTTCACTATTATTTCATTTCAGGTTTATTTTGCTTAATATAATTGTTATTTTCAGATATTCATTTTTAATTATTCTTTTAGTTGTTTCAGGGATTTCAAATCATTTTATATATTAGACAATGGAAGTCCGAACTAGTGAAATTCATCATGAAACATTGTCAATCACCTTCAAACAAACATTTTCAGAACAGTTTCGATATCAATCTTAGGTTGCCACTTGGTGTCTGTAAGAATTTCGATTGACTTATTTCATTGTAGGATTTCATAAACTACCGACCAATTTTGAGATGGTTGTATATCATGCCATCTATACATTTTGCAATTTCAACCTTGAAGTGTATAAAAAACTGTATCTGTTCCATGAACATATTCGATTCTGGTGTCTACAGATATTACAGATCTGCTTTCTAGTATATTCATACATTTTCAGTTTTGATTTCAGGTTTTTTGATATATAATGGTTATATAGTTTTGTTATTTCCATGTGTTTGAAATTTCCAATCTGAAACTGTTCTGATGTTGTAATTCTACTAAATCACTAAGTAATGGACCTAGGCGTTTATTCATCCTTTGAAGCGTGATACCAAACAGTTGTTGGACTATAGTAGAAATGAATTACGATATCTAACAGGCCTTCCCACAGGTCACTGTCATTTGAATCATCATATGCCGAGACTCGAACTGTCAGAAGACAATGTGTGTGTCGCCTCTGTTTGGAAAATAATGAACCAGCAGAGTACATACTCCAGTTATATTTAATATGAACAATATTTTCGAAATGTGAAATCACTTTACTAACATTGAAAGAGAAGTATTAATAGAAAAAAAAATGTTGGTTTTTTACTCCTCCATCTTCATGTGTGAAATTCCCTTTCAATTTGAAGTATTATCAATAATGTAACCTCAAAAATATAAAATTGTCTGGTATTTTCTCCTTATAGGAACGAATATGCCCAATTGGCAGCCGATTATAAACCAATAAATTTAGGACAGGGATTTCCAGACTTTCCACCACCAAAATACATCATGCAAACTTTAAGTGAAGTTTCAGGAGGAGAAAATTATATGATTCACCAGTATACTCGTGGATACGTAAGTGCCCTCAACAACCTGATAGAGGTATCACCGATTCCTGATTGGTTTTTGTAGGGACATCCTAGACTAGTATCGGCGTTAGCTAAATTGTATACAAAAATGTTAGGAAGAGAAATCAATCCCAACACAGAAGTGATAACAACAACAGGTGCTTATGAAGCGTTATTTTGTGCAATTATGGGACACGTCGACATTGGCGATGAAGTAATTTTGATAGAGCCGTTCTTCGATTGCTGTGAACCCATTGTCCAGTATGCTGGAGGAAAAACGAGATGCATCCCATTGAGAATGGTGAGATTCAATCTTTATCAGTTTTCAAATCACTTTTCATTATTAGTGTGATAGGTTAGAGTATGGTAGTACATTTTCCATAAACGAATTCTTCCATCATAAATATCTCACATTACTATACAAAATATGATGATAACACAACACAACAAAGTTTTTGTTTCGGGGTTGAAATTAGATGATTTTAATGTATTTTTCAATAATATT